AAGGTCTGATCCTTACATTCCTAAATTTTTCAAAGCTTTTGTCATGAATGAATATACAATTTTATGAAAAGTTTTGCTTTCATATATTGAGAAAATCATGTAAATTTTTATTCCTGATTATATTTATTGCTTTCATTGACTGCATATATTCAACCATCCTTGCATGCCTGGAATGAGAAGAACTTGATTTTTTAATGTGTTATTGAAGTCAGTTTGTAAGTATTTTATTGAATATCTTTGTATTTGTGTTCATCAGCAATATTGATTTAAAGTTTTTTCTCTTTTCCTTTTTTTTGTTTTTGCTAGTAGTAGTGTTTTGAATTCAGAGCCTCAGGCTTACTTGACTTGCTTGTTCAACTGGTGTTTACCACTTTAATTATGTCTTCAACCAATCTTTTTGCTGGTTATTTTGGGGATGGAGTCTTATGGATTTTTATGCCTGGACTGACTTCAAACTTGAGTTTTCTAGATCTCAGCTTCCTGTGTGGCTAGAATGACAGGCATGAGCTGCCAGTACTTGGCTATTTTTTTTTTTTTGTTATGTCCTTGTCCAGTTTGGTATCAAGATAATACTGGCTTCATTGAATAAAATTAGAAGTGCTTCTTAACCTTTCTATTTTGTGAAGCAGTTTGTGGCAGATTGGTGTTACTTCTCCTTTAAAGTTCTGAATCTATTTGGACCTGGACTTTTTTCATTGGGCAATATTTTATTACTGCTTCAATTTCATTACTTTTTATAAGTCTGTTTGGATTGTTTATATTTTCTTGGTTTAATTTTGGTAGGTCATATCTGTCCAGAAATATATCCATTTCTTCTAAATTTTCCAGTTTTTTGGAATATAAGGTTCATTCTAATCATTCTCTGGATTTCAGTGATATCTATTATAATATCTCACTTTTCTTTTTTTTTTTTTTGGGTCCGGTCATGGGGCCTGAACTCTGGGCCTGGGCGCTGTCCCTCAGCTCTTCAGCTCAAGGCTAGCGCTCTACCACTTGAGCCACAGCGCCACTTCCGGCTTTTTTCTTTTTGCTTATGTGGTGCTGGGAATCGAACCCAGGGCCTCAGGCATGCAAGGCAAGCGCGCTCTACCACTGAGCCACCTTCCCAGCCCCAATATCTCACTTTTCATCTCTAATTTTAATACCATTTTGCTGCTGAGAAAAAACTAGACTCAGAATTGCTCTAACTTGACTGTAGCGGAAGTACTGGGCCCATAATTAGACCCTGGGTTCTCAGGCATTAATATACTTGCTGCTGATGAACCTTCACTGTCCTCAGTTGCTTCGACTGTCTGTGTTTTTTGGGTCTTTATTCAGAAAGTGTCAACCTGTGCCAAGGAGCCCTGGTGTTTTACCCTATTCCTTCCTGTAATATTTTCAGTGTATCTGCTTTTAACTAGAGGTCTTTGATCCATTTGGAATTGATTCTGGTGCAGGTGATATATAAGGATCTAACTTCAGTTTTCTACATGTGGTTAGCCAATTGTGCCAGCACCATTTGTTGAAGAAGCTGTCATTTTTCCATCCTGGTTTTTTTGGGTTTTTTATTTTTTGGTTTTTTTTGTTTTTGGCTCCCTTATCAAAGATTAGGTGGCCATAAGTCTGTGGGTTTGTTTCTTTCTGGGTCTTCAGTTCTATTCCATTGGTCCTCAGGCCTGTTCTTGTGCCAGTACCAAGCTATTTTTATTACTACAGCTTTGTAGTAGAGTTTGAAGTTTTGTATTGATATTCCTCCATCACTATTCTTCCTGCTAAGGATTATTTTCACTATTCAGGGTCTTTTATATTCCATATGAATTTTTGGATTGCTTCTATTTCATTAAAGAATGAAGCTGAGATACTGATAGGTATTCCATTGAATTTGTTGATAGCCTTTGGCAGGTATTTCCATTTTTACAATGTTAATTCTCCCAATACAGGAGCATGGGAGGTTTTTCTACTTCTGTAGATAAACAAATCAAAGAAAGGTTGCTAAATGGGATTGCATTTAACTGCAGAGCTTCTGTATGGCAAAGGACATAGCAAGCAAGATAAATGGACACCCACAGACTGGGTGAAGATCTTCATTAGCCATACAACAGACAAGGGCCTCATACCTAAAATATACTTAGAGCTTAAAAAAATAAATCCCCTGGGAAGGTGGCTCAGTGGTAGAGCACTTGCCTTGCATTCATGAGGTCCTGGGTTCGATTCCTCAACACCACATAAGCAGAAAAAGAAAGCCGAAAGTGGTGCTGTGGCTCAAGTGGTAGAGCGCTAGCCTTGAGCTGAAGAGCTGTGGGACAGCGCCCAGGCCCAGAGTTCAGGCCCCACGACCGGACAAAAAAAAAAAAAAAAAAAAAAAATTAAATCCCCCAAAAACAAATTCCCAAGGAAATAACCACCTCATTAACAAGTAGGCTAAAACTTAAAGAGAGATGTCTCTAAAGAGGAAATAAGAATGGCCAGTAGATGCGAAGAAATGCTCAACATCTCTGGCCATAAAAGGAATGCAAATCAAAACAACATTGAGACTCCACCTTACCCCAGAATGGCCATTGTCAGGAAATCTAATAATAACAGATGCTGGTGGGAATGTGGCCAAAGGGAATGCTACTACATTATTGGTAGAACTGAAACTTGTTCTGATAATCTGGAAAGAAGTATGGAGGTTCCTCAAAAGACTAAACATAGAGCTCCCCTATGACCCAGCAAGGCCACACTAAAGCTACCAGCACAACCATGTTCGTTGCAGAATTATTTATCATAGCTAAGTATGGAACCAACCCAGATGCCCCTCAGTAGATTAATGGATCAAAAAGATGTGGTGTGTATACAGGTGGGTTCAATGCTTCCATCAGAAAGAATGACATTGCTCTCTGTTCATTTTTCTAGCTCTTGCTCTTGCTCTTGTTTTCTAGCTCTCTTGCTCTTGCTCTTCTAGCTCTCTTGCTTTTTCTCTCTCTGTTCGTTTCTAGCTCTTGCTCTTGCTCTTCTTTTCTAGCTCTCTCTGCTCTCTCTCTGCTCTAGCTCTTTCCTCTCTCTTTCCCAGCCACGTGGAGTGCCAACCTTGCCTGGTTCCAGCAGGTCTTCTGAATACCTGAATACCACGTGAGTGCTACTGTTCTTACCCCTCTCTCTGCTCTTTTCTAGCTCTTTCCTCTCTTTCTCAGCTCTCTCTCCTTCCCAGGCCTTTCCCAGCCACGTGGAGTGCCAACCTTGCCTGTTCCCAGCAGGTCTACTGAATAAACCTACCCCTTACCTGAAAAAAAAAAAAAAAAAAAAAAAAAAAGAAAGAATGACATTGTCTCATTCATCAGGAAATGGAAAGACTTGGAAAAAATTACATTATTACATTATAACTAGAATATGTCTATGATATTCTTTTTTTTCCCCATAAAAATTTAGTTTATTTGCTCTGACCTTTTGTTTACTGAAGTCTTCTTTGTTCCTCCAACTAAATGGCTTAGCAAAGCATTTTGTTAATCTATGATATTCTTAATGACGTTATTTTTTTCAGTTTTCATTTTCTGTACCCTTTGTCTTATATAAGTTTATCTGATAGAAGGGAAAGGGAATCACAGAAACATCAGGGAAAAGGATGATATAATTCAACAATGATACTCACTTGACACTATGTTGGAAATTAACCATACAACTTTGGGGAGGAGAGGGATGTAGGGATGAATAAGTGAGAAAAAATGAGGGAGGAGGTAACTGCTTAAAAAGAAATGTACTCATTACCTTACTTATGCAACTGTAACCCTTCTGTTTATCACCTAATTTACAATGAAGATAAACAGGGGCTGAGAAGGTGGCTCAGTGGTAGAGTGCATGCCTTGCATGCATGAGGCCCTGGGTTCGATTCCCCAGCACCACATAAGCAAAAAGAAAAAACAAGCCGGAAGTGGTGCTGTGGCTCAAGTGGTAGAGTGCTAGCCTTGAGCTGAAGAGCTGAGGGACAGTGCCCAGGCCCAGAGTTCAGGCCCCACGACCAGATCCCCCCCCCCCAAAAAAAAACAATGAAGATAAACATAAATATACTTTTAAAAGACCTTGTGTTTTATTCTCATAGTAATATTTTATTTGTTATTTTTCCAACATAATCTTTAGTAAATTATGGTATAGTCAGTTACTAGATCAAATGATTGATTGATTTTACTTTGATGAGGCCCTGAAGAGTTTATATTTAGCTTTCGAGTTCTTAAGCTTGTAGTTTAACCAGAACGGTTTTATTCAGAGTGCAAGTAGTTCCTGAACAATGGGCTTCAGACCCAATATGCAAGATAGATTGGTTCCAGGACCTCTGTAGGTTTCAGAATCCAGTGCAACTGTAGCCCCTTTGTAACATGGTGGAGTATTTGCATACAACCTTCACACATCCTCTTTTTTTTTTTGGGGCGGGGGGAGAATCCGGTCATGGGGCCTGAACTCTGGGCCTAGGCGCTGTCCCACAGCTCTTCAGCTCAAGGCTAGCGCTCTACCACTTGAGCCACAGCGCCACTTCCGGCTTTTTTCTTTTTGCTTATGTGGTGCTGAGGAATCGAACCCAGGGCCTCATGCATGCAAGGCAAGCGCTCTACCACTAAGCCACCTTCCCAGGCCCTCACACATCCTCTTGAATACTTTTAAATCTTCTTTAGATTACTTATTCTCCCTAACACAATATAAACAGTATGTAAATAGCTGCTATGTTTTATTTTGCAATGGTAGATCAGAGATAGAGTATAGACAACAAAATTAGCTGTTGTTTCAACACAACAGTGTATTTCTTGTCTTTTGTTACAAGTCTCCCACTAACCAACTCCAATTTCCTTGATAGTAGAGGTTCCTGGAAGAGCCTGAGACAGTGTGGTCTTACTGCAGATGGTTCTGAGAAGTAAGCTGCTTTCATCGTCCGTTTGCTCTGGAAGAGCTAGTTTGGTCACCCCAAACTCTTGCCTCTAGTCTGCTCCTGAGCTGCCTGGCACAGATTCCTGTGGGTTAGACAAAGGTGTTCACCAGATGTCCTTTGCTCACAGGTGGTCCCCATGCTTCCCAGGCTGCTATGTGAAGAGCTGTGTAGCCTGAACCCCATGACTGACAAGCTGACCTTCTCAGTGATCTGGACGCTGACCTCTGAGGGCAAGGTAACAATTTGCATACCAGCATTTTCTCAGGTTACTACCATCCCATTCTGTATGTTATGGTAAGCATCACTGTATGCCAGCCCTGGGCTGGAGTGCCATGTGGAAGAATATGGGAAGCCTGGGACACCACCAGGGAAGAAATGTAAGGGCCCTGGCCTCTTAAAAGCCACCTGTTCCACTCAGGAGACAAAACTGACCCTATGTTTGGAGACAGTGGCTTCCCCCCCCTTTCCCCCTCCCTCCCGTAGCCCACTGAAGGAGAAGGTGGAAGAAGCGTGAGAGGGCAGGTGCAAGGGCAGGTGGTGGGTTGATCCAGTAGGGTAAGTGTCCTGAGAAGGCAGGAAGGAGAGAGAGAGCCAAACTGCAGTCACTAGAGAAGGGCCTGTGGGAGGAGAACACCTAGAAACCAAGATGTTTGTGTAGATAGGAGGCATCACACTTAGGAAAGTCTGAAATGGCAGGCACACATGGATTGAAGGTGTCATCTTAGAAATCAAGTACTGAAGGGTGTGCAGGATGGCTCTACCTCCCTGGTGAGTAAAGCAGGGACTGGGGACATATGGACACTGGAGTGGAGAACGTCAGCCTGCATTCCCTAGATAAAGGAAAAAGAGGACAAAGATGATGCAAGGAAAAACCAGTTCCCTCATCCCAAACAACTCTAAATAACCAGAATAGGGTAGTGATTAAAGTAAACCATGGTACCTACTCCGTGAAGTGTTATGTAGTTACTAAAACTGATTACAAAGACCATGGAAGAACATGGGAAATATTTATGCTGTAATATTTAATGGTAGTAAAAAAGAGATATTTAATTATAAGAGGTTCCAAATAAAGATGGAGGATTGAATAACCACACTTACTTTCATTTTATCCCAAAACCTCACTAAAACAACAGTGAAGAGATTTTTTTTTTAAGACATAAACCCACAAGGACAAAGAGAGTGGGAGAGGAGACAACAGCAACAAAACTTTGGAAGCTGGGTAGCAGATGGATGAGTGGTAACTGACTTAGCAGTCCTGAGAAAGCTGAGTCCTCAGCCAGCCACAGAGGAAGCCAAGAAACAAAAAATTCAGGAACGGACAGCACCAGATAGTGCTTCTGCCTTCTCTGGAAGGCAGAGAGGGGTGGGTGAAAATGAGGCTGACATTATGTTGGTGAAAGTTTATCTTAAAAGATTGGCCCTGGCATAGCAGCATACCAGAGACGTGTTACCTAGACAAGACAAAGGAAGGGGTGTCTGAACTAGTGCACATCACCTCACTTCTCACTTGGTGGTGTGGTTCCTCAGGGGCATTGAGTAAATGTTGGCATACTGGATGTTAGAGTCTCAACTCCAGAAATCTGCGAGCCAAGCCTATACCCTTTGAATCAGGAGATGGAAATATCTTTCTCTGAAGAATCTGAGTAGTGAAGAATACTTAATAACCTTAAGGATTGTCCGATCAAAAGCCAGCTCTGCTTCTCTACCAGTAAAGCTTACAGACAATAAGCTCTTCCCACACGTTCAGATCTTTTTAAAAATTTCATATGCATGTACAAAGAGACTATGTTAGTGTCTAGGATGAAACAGGAAAACAAAGTAAGCTAATAGAAAAAGGCAACCCAGTACAAAACACACTCAACAGGGAAAGAAGCTTCCACTTATATTCTTTTAAAGTTATGTCCCAAGATCTAATTAAAAAACAAGTTGGAGAAGAAAAATGCTTTTAGAAAGGGAAAACAATACAAAAGAAATGAATAGAGATTCTGGTTGGAATGTGAAGTTGAAAAACCATCCCAGGAAGAGGTAGAAAAGATAAGAAAATCTGAGAATCCTCCAAAATATCCAGTATCTGCATAGGCATTCCAGAAATAACAAAGAAAAGAAAGGGAAGCAGTGATAAAATAATTCTAAGGAGGTGTACCATTCCTGGAGGATATGGCTTTTCACGTGGCAGTTTATTGTCTGCGTAGTGTTAGAGACTCATCATCTCCAAGAACTCCAGAACACTGGAGACAAGAAAAGAACCTACCGGTTTCTGAGGAGGAGTGGGAAGTCACAAGAACTAGGTGAAGCAGAATAACTCCAGACTTTTCTACCACAACCTTAAAAGCCGAATGACAATGATGATGGATATGATCTCCAAAAAATTCTTTACCCAATGAAGCTGTCAATAAACTGGGGATATTTTTAGACATGCAGATCTTGTAAATAAAGTGCCTCTTCCACACACATTCTCAGGAAGCTGTTCGAGGATGGGCTTTACCAAATAAAGAAGCAAATCAAGAAAGAAGGAGCCACATATAGTGGCATGTTTTTCATCCCAGCACTTAGGAGGCTAAGGCAGGAGGATGGTAGAGTTTGGGTCCAATCTCTTTGGCAGCAAAATAGGATGCAGTCTCAGAAAGAAAGGATTGAGAGGGAAAGAGGGATCTAGGAAACACATAAATCAGCAAAGAGAAGAAAAGAAAGAGTTAGCACACTTTCTGTCAAGGGCCAGAGAGTAAATATTTCCACAGCCACAGTCTTGGTGACAGATACTAAAGTCTCCCTTTACAGCCAAAAAGCAGAGGGTATATAAACAAAGCAACATGGCTGTATGCCAGTAAAACTTTTATTTAAAAACAGGTGAAAAGTTGGATTTGGCCCTCAGTTTGCTGACAGCTGCCCTGAACGATGGGGATGGCAGCTCTGTGCAGGCTCACAGAGCAGCAGGCCCCATGGGAGTGGGTCAGTAGGCTCTAAGAAAGAAGTTTGAGAAAATGAAATAGTTAAAATATTTGTGTCTGAATTTCTTGGAAGATGATTTACACCAACAGGTAACAAACACTTTTATCTCAGGACCCATTACAGAAAAAAACTTAATGAGGACCTCAAAGATTTGTTGTTGTTGTTGTTGTTGTTTATGTAGATTATTATTATGTAGATTATGTTGTGGAAATTAAGTGATAAAAATTTCAAATGTCTATCTCAATTAAGAAACTGAAAATCCATTATGGCTTAATATAAATAACATTTTATGAAACGTTAGTACATTTTCCACAACAAAAAAATGAGACAAGCTTTGGGTGTTTAGTCTGTCTGTCTATCTGTCTGTCTGTCTGTCTGTCTGTCTGTGCTAGTTCCCGGAGCTTGAACTCAGGGCCTAAACACTGTTCCTAAGCTTTTTTGCTCAAGGCTAGCACTCTGTCTCTTGAGCCACAGCTTTACTTCTTGGCTTTTTGCTGGTTAATTAAAGATAAGAGTCTCTTGGATGGCCTTATGTTGGGCTGCAATTCTCAGATCTTGGCCTCCTGAGTAGATAGGATTACAGGCATGAGCCAGTGTTCCTGACTCCAGCTTGTTTTATATTTTCACAAATCTTTTGAATATTATTCTTAGAGAAAACAGTAAGCTAAATTTTCATGCATGCTTCTGTATCAGGCTGTTGGAATAAGTTGTTTTGTTGAGATATATGAAGGAAATTCAACTTTAGATGGTTGAAAGAATGGAGCATTTTAGGCCAGGTACAATAAGACACATCTGTGATACCAGTTACTCAGAGGGGAGGATTATGGTATGAGGCCAGCCCCGAGAAAAAGTTCAGGAAATCCAGTCACAATAAGTCAATCATACATGGTGATTCACACCTGTAATTCCAGCTATACCAAAGACTGTAGGTAGGAGGATCATAGTCTGAGACTAACCTGTGTTAAAAATAAGAAATCCTAAATGAAAAAGAGCTAAAGCAGAACAGAAGAGCTAGGGGCATGACTGAAGGGGTAGAGCTCTTGTCTAGCAAGTCTGGGTCTATCTGAGTTCAAACCCCAGTACTGCCAAAGAGAAGAGGGAAATGTTAATAACTTTTTCAGAAAAATGTAGTAGAATTCAAATTCAAATGTAGTAGAATTCAAAAATGTAGAAAAATTCAACAACAACAACAAAAATGCTTAAAGTTATTTGCAGTCTAGAACTTGAAACTGTATCTATTATGTACTGAATTGGTATCCTCCCCAAGTTCCTGTAGTGAAACCCTAACCCCAAGTATGCTATATTTAGAGTGAGCCTACAGGAGATAATTAAGAATGCAGGAAGTCATAGAGTGGGGCACTGATAAAATAAGATTACCATTGATAAAAGTTAAGACGACAGGAGTTTACTTTTTCTTCCTCCACCAAGTGAAAACACAACCTGATAGCAGCTTTCTGTCTGCAACATGAAGAAAGCCCTCGCTGAGAACTAAATTGGTTGGTACCTTGATCTTGAACTTCTGGCCTCCAGAATGGTGTGAAAACATTTTTTTGTTGTTTAAGCCACCCAGTCTGATATTTTGTTCTGTAGCCCTAGCAGATTAGCATTGTTACCAATTGAACTTTACTAAGTTATATAAAAATCCATTGGTGTCTGTTATACTGTGAATAGATCGTTTACCCAGTCACAATTTAGACATAAATCATTTAAAAAGTATTGACCTATTTTGCTGATCATCTATCAAAATGTACACGTTTCATTACATAATAAAAAAAAGTCATGTTTGTTGCCATTCTTACCAGCCAACACTTAGTATTTGGAAACTATTAAGTATTAGTACTAACCATTAAGCTTCTTGTCAGATACAGTATTTCTACTGTTACAATCTTTGTAAAAAACTTAGTGTTTGCAATTAGCAATAATCAATGCCCATACTTTTCCTTAACATCCAACAACCAAGTCTAAAGAACTACAATTGTGTGTTAGTTGTTTCTTCAGTGAAAATGGTGCTCCATAGAAAGCCATGGGTTCAGCCTACTGCCCAAATGGTTATATATAGGTAACTCAAAATAGCTGTCATCCCTCTGCCTCTGACTGAAGCAACAAAATAATCAAGGATTGAGAAGAGAAAATAAAATGAATTTTACTCATCTACCAAGAACATTCTCAATGAACCTAGCCAGTGTGTGGTGTGAAGAATATAACAACTCCTAGGGCTGGGAAGGTGGCTCAGTGGTAGAGCCCTTGCCTTGCATGCATGAGGCCCTGGGTTTGATTCCTCAGCAC